TGTTAGCACCCTGGCACTCCCAGCAGTCCAAAGTGCTTTAGTTCACTTTCTTGCTCTGGTCTGGATTTGACTAATCATGTTTCATTCCATCTATTTTGATGGTGGTGGCTTATATCACTTGCCAACAGGGCACTCATTCTTGTTCCCTTTGTGGTGGACAGTGGATCTCCATTTTTGAACCCACACACTTGACATATATCTTCTGGCATGTCATGTTTCAGGTGCTTTCGTCATCATTGCAGATTGCCTTCGCAGTCTCAACACACTTTCTCCCAAGGAGTGGCCTCTCAATCCTCAAATTTTCAGTGGCTCTGCCATTTGACTCCTTTTTGGATTCCAAGTTACCTCTTTTGTTTTTGGTCTCCAGTTTATCATCCACTCACCCTGGCTGTCAATACATTCAGACAGGATTAGATCCAGTTTATAACTTTAGTTTTTTCTCATTCCCAAGATGACTTTGTTCATCCATGCTACTCCAGGTCATGTTTTTCTAGTTGATTCTTCCTGGCCAGCACAGATTTGATTTTCTCAGCTGTTTTGGCTCGATATGTTTTTTTTTTCTGTTCAGAATTGATTTTACTAAACTACACTTTGGAGGCTTGTGTAGTTTTTTTGTTGTCATTTTCATTTCTTGCCATCTTCCACCTTCATTCTCGATCGGATCTGAATGACCTTCTCTGTCTCGTACATGCTCTGGGTTGCATAATTGCTTTCAAGGCTTCTTTACATTGACTCAATTTCCCACAGTTTCTTTCCCTTCTACCCCCTCCTCTGTTCGTGATTTTTTTTCCATTCCTCTCCTACCCATTGGGTTCGGCTTGTGATTCGATTGGCTTTCTATTCCTTGTTTCCTTCTTCCCATAATCAATTCCTTATGTCTTCACTCTATTTATGTGCATCTCAACCTCTTCCTCCATTGGAATTCGTCTGTCGAACACTGGAACTACACCTCATACATTCATCTCCCATTATATGCTTTGGGAAGATGTTTATTCCTTGTCAGGGTACCATCTTCCACCTGTTGCCATCCTTCACTCTTTGGTGAGATTGTAACTGGGTAAGTTTTCTTTCTTTTGTTGTATATATTATCTTTCCAGGGGCCTGACCCATGTTTTGACCAGAATCCCACTCTGTGGTGAGTGGTGCCAGTCCAGGTATCCTTAATCATTCAGAATTGTACTAAACTCTGCACTTTAAGGCTATGTTTGCTTCACTTTCGTAATTTCTATGAACTCAAAATGCACACTGTTCATTACAGTCACATAAACTAGAGATGGGGTGTTCCATAAAATCGCTCTTACGTTATTTATTCCCTTCTATTCCTTAGATTGAATAAATCATGTTTTGTCTGCTTTTCAAAATAGGGTTTTATTGGTAACCCATTGCACTGCTCCCCCTCTTTTTCTTCCAGTGGAGTAAGAGAGTCCTTACCACTTTCCAGTTCCAATCCACTGGTATCCTCCTGAATGAGAGATATATACAATATAAACAATAAAGACATAAATGTAGATGATGAGATGTCCTCCAAATGGATGCTCTATATCTGCACAGGTTTGTCCGAGGGGGTGTTGTAACTTTGGAGTGCACCATCATAATGATTGGGATCTCTCATCCTGTCCCCTCATGGAAGTCAGTTCCCAGGTGGTTGAGTTTTGGACTTAGAGCTTAACCAATCACCATACGTCCTCACACATGTAGTGTGCCAGCATAAATGCAGTTCACCCCTTCGATTGGAATGTCAGTTCCCGGCAGTCAGGTTTTGGACATAATTGACTTGCCGTGTATGGTCCATTATGCCCTAGCCACTCCACACCATTAAACACAGTCCTTATTTTACCCACATTCTGTTGATCAGGGAGAATGAAATTATAATATATTGTGTCCAACCATTTTCTCTCCCATTCGGATGTGCTTCTCACAATTTTCCGCCCTGATCTGTCACACCTTTTCCACATCTGGATGAAGAGTATACCTGGTACAGAAGTGATACAGTCTCCCACATATAATCCTTTTATTAGAAGGTTCCCTCGCTAGGGTGTCCTTCAGATACTTTTGAAGGATGCATCTACTTTCTCACTTACACCAGTCCCCCCACCTATTCAGTGTGGGTTTCTAGCTATGTATAAGTGGAAGTAAAGTACCTTGTTGAAAGTTATAATTTTCCATCACTGAAAATGTATTTCCAATGGGTACTTACTTTTGCTCAGACTTCCCACCCTTCCTCCCCAATATCAACCAGTGCTTAATTTTTGACTTGCAGGTAGGTAGGTAGAATAGCATAGAGGGAGTCACATGAGTTACATGTGTGTGTGTGGCACTACTATTGGTGGATGTTTGTCTTATGATAATTTGCATGTGAGAATTAGTTAAACCATGTGAATTGAGGGGTGCGTGGGAATGAAAGGCTTGTGGTATGTAAAAAAAAAATTGCAAATAGAGGGCAGCACTGAACAAGAATAACTATGTATGTGAGCAGAAGTAAGTACCTGTCAAAAATATATTTTCAGTGTAGGAAAAGTGTAACTTCGGGGACATTCAACTCCAGTGCTTGATATATCTATAATATTCTAAAATGCATGTTTGAATAGAACATTAATGATTTTGTGGAGAACCAACATAGTATTACAAAACTAGTGCTAAGGAAGAACACTCTCAAATACAAATTATTGAACTAGACTTCAACTCCAAAATAAATCCAAGATTTGTTGTTTTTAATGTACATGTTATGTAGATATATATTTATTCAATAACTAAAATTTGAAACTTGTTAGGTTAGATAAAAACTATATTTATTTTGGAAGTCCTAGAAGTTATGCAAATGAAATATGGAAATATATTTTTATTTTTAGCATGAAAATCATCTTTCACTCTGACTAACCTGGTAAAGGCTTGATAAGTTCACAGATAAATTTTTAGTAGAAATACTCTATAAAAAATATATTTTTTTTGTGTACATCAGACTTGTAATGTTTACTAAAAGCTTGCCAACTTTAGTTTGTAATGTCTAGTTTTATGATTACATAATAGTAACAAGGTCAGTCAAAATTACTCAGCCTTTACACAGAGAGTTAATAAGCTCTTATTATTTAGCTTATGATCAACCTTCTCCTTAGAGGCCTAAGCCACTATTACAAGTCAGTCATATGGTAATTACTGATGTTGAGCTTAATCCTGTACAATGTGTTAAGTTGATTTGTTGTTTTAAGAGAGAGATGTAAAGTATTGTAAACAGGGAACGTACATACACGCTGAGCTGCAATGTATAAATACTTAACTAGAAACAGGGGTGAAATTCTGCTTATACTTACCAGTACTGAGTACCAGAACTTATTTTTTTAAGGCAGTACTAGTACCAGGACTTATTTGAGCTGCTTTGTTGTTTTTTATGTTTACACACAGATTTTTTTTTTTCCTTTTCAAAAACAGGTCTACTTCACCCAGTTCGGTAACCCTGCTTTTTTTTTAGAATTTCACCTCTGACTAGATAGATATAAAAGGAGTTGTAGATCAGTTGTTAATGTAATACTATACAGGCTGTAGCATGTACTTAACACGTTCCTGTTATTAGTAGTACTAAGAAAATGATTATATTAATTTATAGTGCAGAATTATAAAACACTGTTCTCACCACTCAGCATGTGAATGTTATTTGTCTACGTGAATTGTGTCTTATGTTATGCATAATGTTTAAATAAACCATTCCTAGGAACCCGCAGTCTCTATTTTGTTGATTTTAATGTTGATGACCTAGTGCTGCATGCACATTGGAATTATCACTGTCTGTGCTAGTGTTTCTTAATCTACATGTATGACAAAAAAGAAATCAGAGGACTTGATCCTATCAGTCTCTCATATAATCTTGTAATGTTCCATAAGATCACCACATTTCTCATAAAATAATAAGCTAAGAAATTGTAACTTATTCACATAAGATAACCTCTCCATCCCAAAAATCATCCTAGTAACCCTCCTCTGAACCCACCCCAACATTTCCATATCCTTTTGTAGGTAAGGAGACCAAGAAAGTCCAAATGGGGTCTAATTATTGACTTGTGTAAAGAGGTAATTATCTGTTTTGAAATGTAATCAATGTGTATATAAATAACATTCTGTTGGCTTTATCAACAGAGTACTATCTCAGTGACTTGAGTAATTTATCTATAATTATGCCAGGATTATATTCTTATGTCACACTGTTGAACTTATTCTTATATTTTAAACATATTATTCAAATTACGATAAACTAAGTTTATTATTTTGCACTTGTTATAAGTAATGGTCATTTTCGAAGTATTTGTTTCACGTACCAATTAATCCAAGTCAGTCTGTTTTACCTCAACATCCTCATTACAGCTATGAATATCCTAATTATACCATTATCAATATTTATTAATGTAAAGAAGAAAAAGCAGACCTAAACACTGGCCTTAAAGGCACACCACTTGTGACAAAAGACAAGTTTGGCTAGATTCCTTTAATAAGTTTTCTATCACTAACCCATTTATCCCACGATTAAATTAACCATTATGGTAGACTATCTGATAATATGATGGTAGTGAGAAATTGTATAATAAGATATAATATTATTTCTGATATATGTCCACGGATTAATTGATTACCTTGGAGCATTGTTGACATCAATTAGTGTCATGAAAATAATTAACTAATCAAAATTGATGTTTCTGATTATTACTATTTTAGATTAATCGAACTGTTTAGGTCTTGTGAGAATAATTGATTAGTTAAACATAATTTATCAACGAGTCAGATGACTTGTGGATAACCAAGCCCCACTAATCACTCAGCTTTAATAATGAACAGTACTGTACATGCAGGATCCAACATGTAAAGTTGTAATAATTGACTTTCCTGTTAGAGATAAATGTTTAAATGCTAAAAATAATTAATTGCAGTAGTTCTAGTTTAAAAACTAGAGGCTACTACACTTGCATGGATTGAATATCTTTATGTATATATATATATTATTCTGTATCTTACAGATGTGACTTTGAATGACTTTGCAAACAGTAAGATTTTAACTGAAAGGCTACGGAAGCCAGCTTTACATTCCTTTGCGAGAGAAGGTATAGTATATTATTGGTTACAGTAGCTGGTATAGATTTATACAGCAATTACTTTTACAGTATGTTAGATTTTGTACATGTTTACATTTATAGTATGTACTAAAACAGTGAATATTATATATAGGTACATGTGATACCTTCTTAGTATATTTGTATATGTAGCTTTTCCAATTGCCATTTATTTTGGTGTTTTCTTATGAAATTTGTAATATTTGTATTGTTGAATTAAAACCCACAACCATAATCTATGAAAAAAAGCAATTGAAACTACTCTCATGTTGTGTATTTTTTTATATTTCATTAGTATTTCATTTCAATGTTTTACGTATATCTCTCTCTTTTTTTCTTTTGAAGAAATACATGCAGACTTTTATTATGTTAGTAGCCAAACAGTGGGAATACTTCTTGCTCGAGAGAATGTTTAGACAGAGGAAAATATACTTCAAAAGTGTTGTTAATAAGCTCCATCTAAGAAGTTACTGGACAATGTTTCAAGCTGCTAATTCAGGTCTCATCTTCATCAGATGGAACTTGACGAAGGTCTTTACTAGCAGCGTGAAACATCATCCAATACGCTCCTAGTCAGATGCAGTTCATTAGTCATGCCTTTCAAATAGGGATGCTTGCATGTAACTATATATTGGTGAAGTTTGCTAATAACTTTAAAGGAACTAAAGCTATTTGTACAAATCAAATTTTGCTAACTACCGGACAATTTATCTGTTGAAAACAAGTAATGAATATTAAAACCAATTTGTTACTATTACAAGTCTTGTGATTGACCTCACTAAAATATTAAACATGAATCTATTTCATATACGGAAATCATTTTTACAGTACAGAAAGGCATATATACAAGTTTTTAAAATATTTATCCAAAACATATCACCGTTTTATGTACCTAACGTTGCATGCTTTTGTGTAGGTATCATATAATAAGTTATTATGTTTAAGTAATATTCAAATACAAAAAATGACTGGAGTCGACTAAATATGCAAAATGCTTAAATATTTGGATTTCTACACCTGTGGAAGGTGCAGCACTGGTGGCACCTTGTGTAACTTTGTGCTTGACAGCAATCAAGCGTATAAACAAAATCAGTCAATGGATGCCTCTGTTCTGGTAGGGTGTAGTTATAGACACCTGTTTCACTTCCATAGTCTGATCTCCATCGAAGTGGTTTCTGTATCAATATCCTTAAGATGTTGGCAGCTCAACATGCTTGCCATCATCTTCTGACATAACTGTGTGGTCTTCTTATCACAATCCATTCTGTCATTTCTTCCATCCACCAATAGGCACTTGTTCTCTGGATCTCAGTTTCCTTGCTCTAAACCACCATGTTCATTTGCTTTGGGAGCTTAAACCCTTGTGTTGGATTTACTATCTTGCCTATATTTTATCACTCTCACAGAGTGTTATCTAATACTTTGATGTTTTCATTGGATTTGCTCTCACTTTGGGAACCCTTTCAATTTCATGACTGCCTTTCAAACTGCTTTCAACACCTTGCTCCCATTCTTTTGACCTCACATTCCAAACTATACAGTTATCCAACTGTTCGACAGCTGTACTAAAGAAGTTAAAAGCAAAATACTAGTGATAATAGTACTGTTGTGATTTTGTCAGTTTCAGCTTATGGTTCTGGATCTTGAGCTTTTAAAAGTTGGCCACACTTGTGCTGGAGTGTGAGCACATTTTAAGCTATATTATACTTTCTCAAAAAAAAATGGACAGTATAATTTAATACTGTGAATGAAAATGGTCTGATTAAGACCAAAACTTACTCACAAAAATAAATTGTTAAATACATCATTTACTTATATACATAAACAGTATTAGAATAATTATGAAAAAGTGATACAATACAAAAGTCACAGATAATGAGTAATTGCATCTAAATAATCAATTTATCATTAGTTTCATATGTTATTACAGTAAATACAAGAAAAAACAAGTTGTAGGGTGCACTAGAAATTTGTATTTACTTTAAGTAGAGCAGTACACCTTGTTTATATTCTACCATAAGTATATCAACGTATGATTGTGAAATGTTGTTCCGAGTGTATATTACTCACCATAATTCAGCCAAGTTGTTTGGTTGCTGTTTGACCCCCAGTTTCAATATAAATCCGTAGAATCTTAATAATAATAATATCAGGATTTTGTACAGGCCAAGCCATTGTTTCAAGTGTTCTTCTAGCCTCTTTTTCTATCAAGTATCATTTGACTACATATGCTGCATGCTTAAGATTACTGTCTTGGTCTGATATTAATTACTACCCAATTGGAATGACACGATGAATAATAACCTGTTAGCAATAAAGATGCCGTAAATTTTCTGTAGATCTCCACAGTGTAGGAGTTAAGCTATCACAGTTTGTTACGGGTAATGGGGGCAACGAGCGGGTTTTTTGTGGAACTTGGGACTGGCGTGTACTTTTAAAAAAGTTTTTAATGAAGATGTGCAAGTTTTATGTAGAGTTTGTAGGTTGGAGGTTATACTAATTAAAATTGAGGCAGTAGATAAAGAGAAGTGTAGACTGTGAGAAATGGCAGCAGGATTTCAAGAGGAGCTTAAGTTTTTACATGCAAGAGATACATAAGCTAAGAATGACTATCAGGAAGTTAGAAAGATTACTATTAGAGTAAAAAGTAGTGAATTTAAGTATGATGAGCCTATTCTGTTGAGCAACAAATTTCAGCCCTTGGCTTCTGCAGATGAAGAACTATTGGAGAGAAGGAAAACTAAAAGTGTCTTTATTTTTGCTATTACTCAAAAGTTTAAAGATGCTTGATTTTGGGCAGAAACTGTATACAGTAATCTATGAGTGCCTGAATCAACAAAGTTTACAGTTCCCCAATCACGATGGTCACCCTATGCTAAAAAAAGTATCGTATTATTAAAAGTTATGGTTTAGATACTTAAAGCTGTGGAAACAGAAGACTGAAGAGGTATGTGGAAACAAATATAAACCATCTACAGTTTTCTTGATTTCTATTTTATTATAATCTGGTTTAGATACTTAAAGCAGTGGAAACAGAAGACTGAAGAGGTATGTGGAAATAATAAAAACCATCAGCAGTTTTCTTGATTTCTATTTTCTCCAATGATCAATTACTTGGGTGCAGATGGTGTGAGATTAACCGGCTGGCCAACATGCTAACTGCCTTGGCAACCATTCAAATGAGTTAAAACTATGGTCTCGCTGTCCCCATTTCCTGATATATAAACTGAATATGCCTTGAACTTTAAATGGAGATTGCAAAACTGGCGTAGCTTCAGCAAATGATACAATCTTGTTTGTTCATCATAATTATAGTTACCTTCTGTGTTCAGAATTTTCCAATATAAATAGCTGGAATGTATGTATTGATAATCAACTGTAAAAATCTACAAACAGATTTTTTTTTCTAGTGCCTTCTAAGTTTTACTACAAAAACTGCAACACTCAGACAGTTTGCTAGCACTAATTTGAAGCCTGGATTACCACTGCTCAGATCATATATTATCAGATAATAAACAGGTCTGGCAATCACTAAAAATTACTTCAGCCCCCACGTTCGACCACAATGATAATTTCAGTTTGTATTAACCATTATTAGCAAGACCAATGATGGATGTGTTTGTGTCAGGAAACGATATGTGTGCGACATTGTTGAATATAAAGATTTCAATGGTGGCTCATTTATAGTAAGAGCATAAAAAAAAGAAGAAGATAATTTATTGTAGTTCCTAAGGTTGTTTTAACTACTTCACAGTGTATTGAAGGAGGTAAATGTCCAGTATTATTACATCAAATTATTATGGACTACCTTAAATGAAAAGCTATAGAGATCGTGTTTGCCAGCAAGAAGTCCTGATCTAAATTACAGAACATCTGTGGGACCTACTAGTAACTTTCTTAATTCAAGGATACTTAAATAATACAGAATGTAAGTAGCATTACATCATTAGTTAAATAAGTACATACTGAAAATATACCTTAATTTCAGTTTCCTGTTTATTTGATTAAAATCCTAAATTTTTGAAGTAGTGTATGTACTTATGAATACAGTAATTTATCTTTAAAACTACATTCAGAGTATCACAGAGAATTTATTTTGTTTTCCAATAACTAGATTTAACTTTTTTTGTAACCGTTTATAAGTAGAAATTGTCCAGAAATGTGAGAATTTTCTCCATTCAACGTTAATGTACTGTTTATTTGTCACCAAACATTAAATGCATCATTTAACTAAGCAGAATAAAGCTAATCGGTTGAATATTAAGTCTGAAAGAACTTGCTTATATATGTACGTGAATGTTCTTGAGTTTAAACGAGAAGCGGTTCTTGTAGATCTGTCTTTTTACTCCTTTTTATAGAAACTCGAAATCGTTGATTATTCGGTACTTTTCATTTTTGTTGTTGATTCATTTTTGGGAAATTGGAATTTAATAATAAAATTATACAAACTACCTTTATACACATGCATATCATATATTGGAAGAGAGAGATTTAAAAACTAAACAAGAAGTAAAATTGGACATGGTTAAATCTAAGTGTGAAACAAAGCATGACTAGACACTGCTACAGTAGAAATTTTGTAGGAGCTCTGTAATATTTTTCTCCAAATTGAAATTAGCGAATCTGTTATGTCACTGGAATGTATCTTGTTAACGATACGACTGTATTGTAATTTACTATTAAAAACAATTAAGATTTTTCACAAAATGTGTTCATAAAGTTCTGATTTGAATGACTGTTTATACATGCATATCATTAATATTTTGTAAGTGTAGAGTTACTCATTCAAAGAAGTAAGATACTTATTATCTAGTATAAGTTAGCACTTAGTTTGGCCAAAAATAAGTGTAAATAAAGGTCTTAGTAAGTTCATATTTTATCAAAATTTATTTTTTATTCAAGTAAGCATACTTTTACTATTAAAATACTGGTAAAGATGGTATAATCATACAGTAATACATTTTGGGAAAAACAGATATGTCTGTCTGTCAGGATTGCACTTATCTAAGCCAATTTTTTCTCATGGTCATCTTTGTATAGCTCTTTCCAGGGTACAGTCATTCGATCGGTTAAAAATTTATGTCTCTGAAGGTGCGAGCATTGAAAATGTTGTTTACAAGGAAATTATGTAAACATCTCTTGCAATACAATTTCATAGTTCTTAGTTTTAAGACCTGGCTTGAAATGCCACGGCTCCGAATATTTTGATGAATTTTGACATGTTCTACTGTGGAATACTCAATAGTATCACTTGGAAAAATGATTGTCTGTCTATCCACTGTGTATGAATATACAGAAGAAGAGAAAATGAAATGCATATGTGCAAGTCCTACTAAGAGTGACTTATGGATGCATGTTAATTTCTGTGTATGTTTTGTTAAAATTTATTTAAAAAACCTTCATCTACTGCAGAATTTTGATTGAATAAATAATGTTGTTTAAACATTTGTTTAACAACAAGTAAAATCTTGGAATGGTCTATTCTTTCATTGGGGGATGCATCTGTGAGCCAGACTAGTTTCGGAGAATTCCACTCCTCCTCAGTGACCCTGGACACTATCACCAATGAAATATCAGACCAAACCAAGCTTTTCTAGTAGTGAGGTATCGAAAA